GCCATGCCCCGCGCGCCGTCAGTGTACGGCCTGATTCGCTGCATAGATCGCTGCCCGGACTAGAGCATCGAAAGTTTACGATAATGCTAAAAATATAATGTCACATTATTTTGTACCCTTGTTGTTTCAATTTATCTGAGTACACATGATGCATGTTTTTAGTATCTGTGCCGCTCGTGCGACCTCGCTGTTAGACTGCGAGGAAGTAGTATGCCTAAATTTCCATTCCGTCTCGAATCATCCAAGCTCGGTATTCGCGCACATCTCGCCGAAACAAATATACAGACTTCAGATGATTCAGAATATATTCATGCGCAGAGCCACGAGGGCCCCGTGGTACATGCGCAATAGTGATCTTCACATAGACTTAGACTTACCCACCATAATCCAACACCTGAAGCAGGCGTCGCGTCGTTATTTTGACTCTGCCGTCGGTCATCCTAATTCGTTAGTTGTAGTTGCCGCCACCTACAACCCAATCGCGCTCGGTAAATTTCGACGTGTACATCGCAGACCTAGGCATGTTCTTGATTTCCAAGACGATGCAATAACAATCACTCAGGCTAGGATTAACATTTAACATTAGGATTAAATAATTACAACTACGCAGACAGACAATACGCCGTAGTCGCTATCGACTACGGCAATCAGTCCCGCGATACGGCCTCATAGCAGACAGGTTTTCTCCTATCAATGATGGAAGCGTTGCTCGAGTTTCTTCCACCACTTCTTCTCCCAGCATTCAGAAGTGGTAGTAATGTTAGATAGATTATAATAATAGTAATCAGATAGTAGCAACCGATCAAGTCGAGGTTCGGCCCTCGCGGGCGCCCTTGAATAGGAATGCTAAACGCGTATTGAGTGACAGCCCAAGCCGAGGTCCGCTCTCGGGGACCCTTGTGCCTAGTCACTTCATGGAGCGTCCATTGAAGCGATCTAAGAGCTCGGTGGCCTCCCAATCTGGCAAAAATAACGAAGTAACGACTCGTGCCGAGGCTCCTGAGGGAGCCCTCGAGCTTAGTTACTCATAAACGAAGTTTAGACTAAGCGCCATCTGCGGCCACCTCAAGCCCTGTGAATCTGTAAATGCCTCTTCAAGGCAAACAGTAGCCTTTCAGTCACAAAAAAAATCGAATCATTTAAAATGACTTTATTAAACCCCGATCGTTGTCTGACATTAATATTTCCGGAATGTCCTGTCTACTAAAAATGTTTTTTTAAATTGTCAATGACCTCCAGTGAGGTCATGGTAACTTATTTACTTCTATGTATTTACTGAAAAAATCGATGACAATTAAATATGGCCTGCCTGATAAATTATCTATGTCAACACCTTTTTTTTTTCCCGCAGGGGAATGCTTTCTGCATACTCCATGCCTCTGGGCAGACACGAGAGTTATGTGGGACTCTCCCCCCATAGTGGGGGGCATACCGCACTAA